TGTAAAACCCTGCTTTACTCAGCACTCGTTGGTCGGACCAGAGAAAAAATAAAAACGGTCTTGGCTGCATCTCAGAAGGCTGCAGCGGTTTGATGCTGACAAAATCTGTCTTCCTTAAACCTCCATCAGAACCAGGCTCAGGGAGTGAGCGGTTGGAGTTGAGTGGAGGAACGCTGTAGAAGAGAGCCAGAGATCAATAATAAGAAATGATTAAATGCAGAGAGGTGCATAAACATACGTCTTTGTGTCCCTCCCCTCAGAGGGCGGCCCCTGCCTGAGGCTGAGCTCACTGCTGAACAGAAAGTGTTCTGTGTGCATGTTATCAGCTACTGACTCATGCAGGAAAGTCCTGATATCAGTGAAAGGAGTAGAAGGAGACGTGAAACGGCTGGGCTTATAAAACTGCTGCGTCATCTGTGTAGCAGTGATATCATTTCATGCTGATGATTAATGCCACTCAGAGGTGTGATTACTAATAAAGTGGATGTGGAATGCTTCTCTTTGGAAAACCTCATCAGTGACATGTTGATCTTCTTCAGCAGATGCAGCAGACGAACATCTCAGGATCGTGATGGTTGGGAAAACTGGAGCTGGGAAGAGTGCAGCAGGAAACATCATCATAGAAAGAAGAGTTTTTAAATCCACTTCGGCTTCATCTTCAGTAACAGCAGAGTGTCAGAAGGAAACATCAGAGTTTGGGGGTCAAGCACTGGCTGTAGTTGATACTCCAGGTCTGTTTGATACCAAACTATCTCAAGAGCAGGTGGTGAAAGAGATCAGTAAGTGCATCTCCTTTGCTGCTCCTGGTCCTCACGTGTTCCTGGTTGTGATCCAACCAAACAGATTCACCAAAGAAGAACAAGAAACAGTGAAAGTCATTCAGAAGATATTCGGAGATGAAGCGTCACGCTACACTATGGCCTTGTTCACCCACGGAGACGATCTGGAAGCAGATGAAGTCAGTGTAGAAGATTTAATTAATGGAAATAAAGAACTCAGTGACTTCATCAGTCAGTGTGAGGGAGGATATCATGTTTTTAACAACAGACAAAAGGATTCCTCTCAGGTCAAGGAGCTGCTGAAGAAGATCAACACAATGGTCCAGAGAAACGGAGGAAGCTGCTACAGCAAAGAGATGTTTGAAGAAGCTGAGAAAGCAATAAAAGCAGAAATGGATCGACTCCTGGAAGAAAATCCAGAGATGTCAGAAGAAGAAGCCAGAAGACGGGCAGAAAGAGAAAACGAGTTCAACAGGGCTTGTTTGATAGGGGCGAGCGTTGGAAGCATCTTAGGCCCAGCGGGAGCAGCACTGGGAGCAGCAGTGGCAGCTGCAGTTGTAGCACTGAAAAATAAATGTGTCACACAGTGAAGGTGAAGAATGAAGGTTCATAATCGACATATTTCCACCTCAGAGTTGGTATGCAGACGACTCAGCACTATACTCAAAATTAACTCAGTGGACTAGAACAGAAATATATCCCACTATTAGAACTACACAGCAGTATATGGCCACATCAGGCCTATAATGGAATAATTCTAGTTAACCCTCACATGTAGATTTAGGTGGTTAGAACTTCACTGCATGGTTTTGCACAGCTATGCATGTTTAGATGGCTGAGAATAAAAGAGGAGCTGAGACGTCCCAGAGTTGACTGTGAACTGTGGTGTTTGATGTGTGTCTGTTCTGCTGTGTGTAGTAACAAATACTTTGACCACAGCTCTTTGCAGACTTTATTTATGTTTTAATTCCACGACAGAATGCAAACAGCTTGTTGATTGGATGAGAATCTTGGAGCTGCACGAGCAAAATGTAACTATGTTCACTAATAAAGGTCATGTTTACTGTGTGTTTCCATTTATGCATAAATCAATACACTTGTGATGTAAATGAGTATAGTAATGTTAATGTAGTCCTCTTGCATACTGAATACTGCATGCTGCGTTGTTCATGGCTGCATGAGAGCGGGGCGCTCCTGCTGGTACAGCAGACATTACTGTCTCTTCATGCTGGAGGTGGGACATAAATTCCCACTGTGGGCGAGCCGTCACTCTGACCAGCTGCTGCTGAGTGTGTTCCTTGTGTTTGGACCACACAGTGTGTACGAACAATAAAGCTTTGCAAAATTCTCAACACTGTGTTTATTACTAAAGTCATAGCTTATCTCCTTCCAGCGGCGGGTCTGTGCTAGACAGACCAATGAGTGGGAGTCACTGTAGGTGGGCACAGTAGTAACAGAAAAGCATATATATACATATATATATACATATATATATATATATATATATATATATATATATATATATACATACATATATAAATATATATATAACATATACACATATATATATATATATATATATATATATATATATATATATATATATATATATATATATAAAAAAAACACCCAGCACGCCCCTGCGGGCGGTTTATCCTTCAAGCTCGGGTCCTCTACCAGAGGCCTGGGAGCTTGAGGGTCCTGCGCAGTATCTTAGCTGTTCCCAGGACTGCGCTCTTCTGGACAGAGATCTCCGATGTTATTCCCGGGATCTGCTGGAGCCACTCGCCTAGCTTGGGAGTCACCGCACCTAGTGCTCCGATTACCACGGGGACCACCGTTACCTTCACCCTCCACATCCTCTCGAGCTCTTCTCTGAGCCCTTGGTATTTCTCCAGCTTCTCGTGTTCCTTCTTCCTGATGTTGCTGTCATTCGGAACCGCTACATCGATCACTACGGCCGTCTTCTTCTGTTTGTCTACCACCACTATGTCCGGTTGGTTAGCCACCACCATTTTGTCCGTCTGTATCTGGAAGTCCCACAGGATCTTAGCTCGGTCATTCTCCACCACCCTTGGGGGCATCTCCCATTTTGACCTCGGGACTTCCAGGTTATACTCGGCACAGATGTTCCTGTACACTATGCCGGCCACTTGGTTGTGGCGTTCCATGTATGCCTTGCCTGCTAGCATCTTGCACCCTGCTGTTATGTGCTGGATTGTCTCTGGGGCATCTTTACACAGCCTGCACCTGGGGTCTTGCCTGGTGTGATAGACCCCAGCCTCTATGGATCTTGTGCTCAGAGCTTGTTCTTGTGCTGCCATGATTAGTGCCTCTGTGCTGTCTTTCAGTCCAGCTTTGTCCAGCCACTGGTAGGATTTCTGGATATCAGCCACCTCCTCTATCTGCCGGTGGTACATACCGTGCAGGGGCCTGTCCTTCCATGATGGTTCCTCATCTCCCTCCTCTTTCTCTTTCTACAAAGAGCTTAGAAATGAGTTCAATGAAATAAATAAATAGTCAGTTAAGCGAACCGAGACGCAGAGAGATGACGGGAAGGAGAGGCATGGAAACATAAGGAGAAGAACATAGGAACAGAAAAGGGAAAGAAGACACAAGGACACACACATAAACAGACACACAGAGGACAAACACACAAGGGGAAGCTACTAATCAAGAAACTGATCTCAATAAACTAAGCAAACTAACTTTGTGTGATTCAGTCCCATGAAAACGCTGATAGTTAAGCTCAGGATAAACAGGTCAGCTTGTGTTGGGCTGGTGCTCAGTGTCCTAAATAACAGATTCAAGCTGAGAGCGTTCATCAGAACTTAGAAGTGAATAACATTTGTATTCTCATGTACTAGTATTCGTTTTTTTTTACACAGCAGAAGTTACCTGTGGTAGAATCGTTCTTCAAGGAGCTACTTTCTACTTTTTTACTCTGAGTACATTTCAGTACTTTTTCACTTTTACTGAAATGTTGGTTTAACTGTAGTATCTGTACTTCTACGTACAGCATGTGCACTTGTGCCACCTCTGCTGGTCAGTCTGCGGTTACTGAGGTTTTTTCATCCTTAAAATTTAGTACACAAAAGAATCTTTTTTTCCCGCAGGTTCAAGATCTTGGAGTAAATAAAAGAAAAGCAAACTCGTGAATTATAGATAATAATCTGCGGACGGAAAGAAAAACAGACACTCGTGTTTCTCTCTGGCTGTGGGCGACAGTCAGCTGATTTCAGTTTGGAGGAGGCGGAGGAAAATGGTGGAGCTGTTTACAGATGTTGAGGAGAGGAGACACGGACGTTACTTTGGTTTTTACCGCATGGAAGGAGCAGAGCTGCGTTCAGCTGTTGTGTTCGTAGGTGAGCAAACACTGATGATAATAAAGGAAAACTTTGTTTGTGTCCTCAGGATTCGTGTTGGTGTGTGTGGCCTCAGGTTTGTACTGTTAACTGGTAATTATGTAACAGCGAGTTTCAGCTAATGATAGAGAAACAAATGACTTTCTGGCGAGTAATTAAATTACATCCATTACTTTGGCGACGAGCAACGAGATCACAAGGAATGAAAGGCCTGTTGGGAAGAAAGTATAATAAAAATAAGTGTTTGGACTTCAGTGAGCAGCACAGACTCGGGATGTGTGTTAGACTGTTAAAGCAGAAAGTTCTTACTGGGAGGACACAAATCCCCCTGGAAACCTTCGTGTGACGTGCCGTGGATAGTTTAATCAGTAAACATCACACAGAGTTGTTAATACTTTGCATTAGTCTTTGAGTGGGTTTGCAGTAAGGTTTGTTGCAAGCATGCACGAAGTCAATAAGTGAATGCTTTTTAAAAATGTTGTCCCCGGTGTGACAGGGGGAGGGATACTAACGCTGTCGCTGTTTCCTGTTACTTTGATATTTACATAGACAAGCCGTCTCCAACCTTTTTTGCGCCACGGACCGGTTTATGCCCGACAATATTTTCATGGACCGGCCTTTAAGGTGTCGCGGATAAATACAACAAAATAAAACTAGTACCGGTACCGAAAAAAAGAAGATTTATTCATAACACACGTGAAAAGACCCAGGAAAACCGAGTTAACGATAAAAACGATAACAAAATAACGCTGAAAACCGATAAAAACCCTGAAAACCAGACATTTCACACCTGAGCCTCAACCAAACGACTCACGGACCGGTACCGGTCCGAGGCCCGGGGGTCGGGGACCGCTGCCATAGAACGTAAACATACCTGTGACACTCACACAAACCCACACCTGAGCCTTCATATGTGATCTGTCCTCGTTCGTCCTGCGCTCGTTTTCTAATCATATTCATTGGACAGGTTACATAAAGATACTGAGGCGTCAGAAACAAGGGAAACAATGTTGTTTCAGGAAACATGAAACTCCTGCGGCTGTTGTTGTCATTTCAGAAAAAAAAGGGAAGAAATGTTTCCGCCCGGTTTCGAACCGGGGACCTTTCCACGACACTACGGAGACGCACCATTTGTCGTGAAAGGTCGTGTCACAGGTGTCAAACTGAGGGTGGCAGCTACTATCCCTGCAGGTGTGTGTATTTGCCTAAAGGTTTTGAGCGCTGGTTTCTCCTTATAGATCAAATCAAACACACTGAGAGCTCCTCACCTCTGCACAGCAGCGTGGACTCTGTGGGTCTCAGCTAATAGCTGAGCAACTTTCTTTGTGTCTCGTCTCTGAGTTATTTTACTTTGTGATATTTGGTTTTATTGAGAGCTGTTTTTCCTCTTTTTGCTGCTGTGACAGGGTCACTTTCCTAATCATACTGTCTGTGTTTCCAGCTTCATCAAAGAGGAAATCTTCAGCCTAATCATCAAACTTAGAAAGCGCGTCTGCCTCCTGGATCCAGCTGCAACAAAGCTCTCAGGCTCCTGTATGTAAGTTCCTATAACTAGTAATCACCCCTGGGTGCTTTAAAAAGCCTTACCCAGTGACTCACACCAGTGCTGATCATGCTGATTACTTTAACAGGACTTTAATTTATTGTGTGTGTGTGTTGAAAGATTAACTTTTATTTCCAGATAACCAGCTGATGGGCGCCTGGGCGCTTGTGCCTCCTCTCCCCGTCAGCACAGAGTGACACTGACAGTCTGGACTGTTCACTGGTGTTTTTGATCTGGATCCTTCACCTGATCATGCAGAAACAAACCAACAGCAGAGGATTTGATGAACATTTTATAGAAAGTCAGCATTTAAGGCTGGAAGACTTCAAACAGGAAGCATGGACGTATGGTTTTGGAAACCAGTACCTTCATAAAAACATGCGTCCATACCCTCGGCCGGAGCTTCATGTGTTTCATCTGAAACACGACACATACAGATTAGAAGAGATCAAGAATGACGGAGGCTTCAAGGATCCAAAGAGCGGCTCAGAGGATCCAGACAGAATGTCCCTGGTGTGGTGGAGTCTGGCTGTGGCACCAGAGGAGATCCAATCAGCTGAGAGGAGGCTCCTGAAGAAGACCTTCCCAAACCGGACCGAGGAGCAGGCCCGGAGGCAGCAGAGCTTCCTGTGGAAGTTCGCCTCCTCTCCAGCCTTCAGTGAGAAGTCCAGGTATGGATCGTACCGCTTCACCTTCACAGTGGAGAAGGTGCTGGAGGCCTACAGCAAGCAGGTACGGACTCCTTCAGTTTAAATGAACACTTACAGAAGAGCTTAATGCTGTTTTATCACAGGAGACAAACTTTCATGTGGCACTCTGAGTTTGTTAAAGGAAAAATGTTTTTAAACCGCTCAGTCCGTCCATCACATCAGACTGGAAGAGAGCAAACTGCAAAGACAAAAGTCACGTGACCACTGTCGACCTGATACTGTCGATCTGTGGGGCCACCACCCTGGATCAGCTCTGTCCTAATCCCCACTTCAGGTGTTGACCCACCAGGACTCCCAGGGTCCTGAGTAACTAACCAACCACACCTGTTAACAACAGCTCCCCTCTAGGTCGGTAACTAACTGGCTTAAATTTCATGGCTCTGTTACTTTTAAAGGGCTGGAGGATCCTGTAAGAGCCATTTATTTGACCTTTACTGTTTCACAAAGGGGTAAAAAGGACATTTGCACAGTTCAATTTGCAGCATATTTCATTAAAACAATTTAGCAGAAGCAAAGAAAAGGCAGAATAAAATAACAAAACAGTCAGAATATTAATCAGTCGAAGCACTAACGTGCTCTGAACTAACGCTGAATTTGTTCTGATGTTTGGAGGAGAGAGGCTGGGAAGAAGAGCACAGCTGGATCCAAAGATGCACTGCGTTTGGTGCTGGGTTGAAGTCTTCTTGATTCTTTAACACGGCAAAAATGAGCCGAGAAAACGCAAAAACCCCAGTTTGAAGCCCACAGTCTTGGGTGGCTGCTGCCCCTCTGACATAACTTGCTGTAGTTTGTGACTGTGAGCTACCGGCTGAACCTTCAGAGGATGCAGGCGTGAGAGGAAGTAACCCTGCACAGCCTTTCAGTGCGAGGCCTGTCTTTGAATCATTTCATTGATCACATTTTCTTATTGTTTTTATTATTTAAACTAAACTTGCTCATTTTTAACTTACCTGGTATAGTCTGATCAGTATTAAGCAATTAAGATTAATTACCAGCAGAATCACACATGAATCTGTTTAACACTCAGTACCATTACTTTTACTCAGAATCATGTATTATGTCGGAGACGCATTTCTTATCTTTCACACCTGCTGAGGTTGAAGCTGGATCACATTTACATGCACAGCATCCACAGATTAGAACAGACATGTTCTCTCATCTAACTAAACATATTCATCAAACTTATGGTTCAATCTTTGATTAAGAATGAAGATGATTTATTAGCAAAAGCACACCAAGCTAAGCTCTGTTTCTGTATGGTTTCAAACATATAAGACAGGATGTCAGGCCTTTCTGCCCTCAGATGCACTGAGAGGTAAGCCGGGGGACTTCAGTCTCTCTACTCTAACAGCTGTGTCTGTCTACCTCGACCTCTCACTGCACATGTCTCGAGTTACTGATTCACAGTCAGTGAGACGTCCACCTAAACCAGTTTTGTTCTCTCAGTTTTGCTTTCATGCTGCGCCCGTCATGCGGGTCCTCAAGACTTCCCTGTACAAACAGGAAGTGATGTACACTGTGCTGGTGCACAGCCCGCACGATGGCGAGCGCTTCACCAAGTATCCCGTCCTGCCCGACGAGCCCAGCAACATCTGTGCTTACAGGGACGGACACTTTACCTGGAGGCCCGAGGCCATGTGTGAGACACACAAGTAAGAAACAGATGCTACCCCCCCCCCCCCCCCACACCACACACGCACACACTCACACAGACCACACACACACACACACACACACAGACGTGCACACACAGACACAGGCCAAGGTAATGCCATCCCGAGTAAGAATCTGGTTAGACACCATCTCAGACAACATTTGGTGGATGTTCCTGATCCTTTAACACTGTCAGCTGATTCAGACGCTGCTTCCTCTCAGATATGTGCTTTTACAAAGACGTGACAAAAACCTGATGGAAGTTTGGGGGCTGATTCAGGATCCACAGTTTTATGTTTGGGACCACGTCGCCATTGCCCTGCATGTGGCGGGAGGACAGGTACCTTCACTGCTCCTCCTCCTCACACACCTGCAGAAACATCAGCAACATTATTGTGTTTAATCATCGTAAAGCTGGAGGAAGCTTTTTGATTCTTGTCTTTCTGAGTTTTTGGTCTTTGTGTGTTTCTGCCAGAGCTGGTGTGTTTGGAGGTTTGATGAATAAATGATGTTTACTGTAAATAAACTAAACGTTTCAGTTTGTGTTTGAGTTTCATTTTGTAGGTTTTTTGTGTAAAACTGTTGCTCGTCTTTTTCTCTCTGTTCATTTTCTTGTCCAGGTGCTGAAGTTTGATTCTGATGATCTGAGAAAGAACCTCAGGTTCTGTGAGCGTGACGCTGTGACAGTCAGACCTGAATCTGACTTTCAACATTACCAGGATGCTCAAAGCCTCGTCGCTCGTTTGTGGCCGCTGAAGAAGGAGGTTTCACTGCAGCAGAGAATCAGAGGTAATAAATCACTAATCAATAACAGGCTGACTTCCTGCTTCACCTCCTGACACAGCCGATGAGCTGTGAGCTGTAAACGTCTCCTGATTGACCTTCTTCATCAACAGGCTCTACAGAGTGAGGCTGTCTGTGGAGTTTCTCCACCTTTATTCTCCTTTTCCTGAGCGACTGCAGCATCACCGGCTGCACAGTGAACCATGGTGGAGGTTACACAGAAGGCAGCAGCCGAGAGGAACGAACACAGAAAAACTCTTTGATGTGACTTTTTTATTCCATTAGTTTATTAAAGGTTTATTACATGAATTTCCAAAGTGCACAGCAAAAGACCAAAGACAGATAAAACATAAACATGTGATCATGTGTTTCACTGCACTCGGTCCTGTCTGCGTGGGATGTGTTCATGTGACTGAATCAAAGACTAATTACTTTGTACACACAAAAAGTGGACAATAAAGTTGTTTTGAATATTTTGTATTTTGGGTGTTTTCTGTGGTGTTCAGGTGCCTTTGCTCCTCCTCCTCCTCCTCACTCTTCACACACCTGAAGCTTTTCACATCAGATCAGTTGTTGCTGTCTTTGTTAAATCAGTCCAACGTGTCACTAAAAGTGCTTTGAACGACCATCTACTCCTGATTCTATCAATGTGACGTGTAACAGCGCCACCCTGTGGTCAGAGAGGGTGTTACACCCGCACTGTTCCTAATCTTTCATTTAAACCCTCATTTCTTTGAAAACTCACTCAGCTGTGCCTTCATGCAGTTTCCACTTAAACACTGTTTCTGTTCATTGTATTTTGATGAGTTCCAGCTTTTGTTCCACGTGATGTTCACAGCTTTGAATTTACCTGATCATCTGTTTACAGACAAACATCTCAGTCCTGCATATTTCATGTGAGGATCTCGTGTACCTGTGGAGTTATTCAGGCTCGCACATGTTCACTCTCACCTGCATCTTCTTCAAGTTGCTGTAGCTCAGAGATGCATGGCTTCATTAAATACACTAAGGTTATTGTAATAAAACAGTTCAGTGTGATTTTTTTATTTAAACGGGTTTTGCAGCATTTGAGTGCAACACATGTGATGGTCAGCTAACAGCCTGGCAGTGAAGTGTCTCTAGATGTACGTGGTGTTGTCTCAAACATAAAGCAGTATTTATTTAAATGCTAAATAAAAGTGCTGCTCAGAGGAAACTTAACTGAAAAATATTTAAAATAAAAAACAGCAGTTAGTTGACTGGACTTCAGGATATGAGCACAGACTGTCTTCCTTTTCCAGCTTTGCACTACTTAAAGTATCCCATCCTTCCCAGTGTCTCCCAGTACCAGTCAACTCTGACATTTTCTACATTTCTGCATGAACTTGAGTATAACATCAAACCTGTCTTCTACATGTAGATTTAAGTTATGCAGCGATCTGCTGTCAGTGATGACTATGTTCCTCTTCAGGTCGTCTCCGTGGGTGAACAGGACCCTTTAGACCTGAGTGATTTCCCTCCTCACATCAGGTTCACTCTTGCTGGTGTTAAACAGACCTGGAGGATCCACAACAGCCAGAGTTTGATCCCCATGTTTGTGTCTGACACTCGGACATTAGTGAGGATGATGATTGATGATGTGATGAATCCAGGGCCCACTCTACTCTTTCTTTATTAAGGCTGCTGTGTTTTAAACATGTTTTGGTGTTTTGTATCTTGTTGTATTTAATCTCAACAAGCCCCTAAAAACAGTCAGTGATCACTGTCGGCTTCTCTTGGTTTTTATTACTGTTAATCATTTTAAAGCTCAGTTTTTAAACATTTACGATGTAACTGCAGCCCAGCAGCAGTATATTAATGACTAACCTCGTAATGTGGATGGATTATCTCAGTTGTTCTCCATGTGATTGCATTTGTCTCTAACCATCGGGAACCCTCACGTTAACTTTTATCAGGTGGAAAAAAGTCCTCCGTTCGTTAGTGTTCCTCCTCCAGCTTTTATAATCTACTGTTTATGTTATGCTAACATAGCTTTGTCGCGCTAGCGATCACGTAGCACATTATTATATACCAGCTAGCTCAAATTCAGTAACCCTACAAACGTCGCTGCTGTTTACTTTCCTGTCTTCATTTATGTTGGAAGTGATAGCAGAGCTGTACGTTTGAATTTGTTTCTTAAATCCCTCAGTAAGAACATGCTATATCATGTTTAGATGGAAGCTAGTGAGCTAACTTCCTGCTAACTTCTAACTCCGTTAAATGTGATAAATTCTGTTTTCATGGATGCCTGGATGTTAAACTTAACTGTTACACCTGGTAGAGCAGCCATGTGATCATTTTGTTACAGATGAAAGAATTTAGACAGTTTTTAACTCTCAGTAATGCTGCAGTGATCATTTGCACGGTGGCTGGGAAGTGCAAATCACATTTACAACATCAACAACAAAATAACATTTCAGAAAACACTTTTACATAAAAACAAACAAACAAATCACCACATATCCAAACTGATATCATGACCAGCAGGTTTACAGCTGTGGCTCCAGCAAACATCAGCTGATACTAGAAATTAATATTAAATAAATTCTAACAACAGCTGATCAAGCTTAAACGTGCTGCTGTTGTTTAGCGCGACATCCGCTGGTTTCCTCTTTCTGGCGCAAAGTGGGCGATAAACAAACAAGAAGCGATCAGCTGATCATTGATCAGTTTCATGATTGAAGTAGCAACAGGAGAGGGAGGGGAGAGAATGAGTCTTTTTCTCAATCTAGATGAAGTAGGGGACAAATCGCTTTCCTTTTCACCTCAATACCAAACTTTATACTGAAGTTCAACCTCCTCTGCTGCAATTGGTCCTGCCCAGAATCGATCATGGCCGAATGGCCACTCCACCACCTTTCATTGTTTATACCGTTACAAAGAAACAAAAAAGAAAAACAAAAAGAAACAACCATCGGCCCATAAAAACGAAAATGGCCCGGTGGCCAGTCCAGTTGTGGTTATATCATATTTGATTTGATTTCAGACAAAATGAGTCATTATATCATTAAAAATAAACAACAAAGACAAAACTCACAAAATATACAGACACTTATTCCAAAGTTTATAAAAACTTGACACATACTTAGTGCCACCTTGTGTTCGACTGGCAAAGTTTTGCCCTCATTACCCGCTCATTACTTTTAATGAAATGGACAACGTTCCTAAATTTAGCCATAACAGGTGCGACTGATCAGGTTGGACCTGCGGGGCTACTCGGGCTTTTTCACATCAGGGCGAGCAGGAAAGACACTTGGACATTAAAGCATCCACATAAACTCCCTGTGACCTCTGTGTTATCTACTGTAAGACTCAGAGGACCAGAGATGAAGACTTTTCTTTTTATCAGAGAGCCGAACCAGACTTCCTGTATCAGGATGCTGCAGATCTACAACAGCAAACATCAGTCAGTTTGTCAAAGCTCCAGAAGTATGAAGAAATACAGTGTCATCAGTTCCCGTCAGTCCTTCACAAACAAATATCGTGCATGTGTTTTCTGCACTCACAAAATTGACTTTGACTTTTTGCGCAAGGCTAATTGTGCCATTTAGGTCCAAAGTTTAAAGTGTTCACAGGAAGCAGTGACAGTCTGATAACTGTGTTGTTAAAATGGTCCATTAAATAGGCCTGCTATGAGTCTGGACCCGTTAAAGAAGGATCAGTCACAAGGACTTTCCCTTAAAAACTGGATTTGTTTTATCTTAATGGAAATGAAATATTAATGAAACTTTGATATGAAGCATTGCAAGCTTAGGGTGCTGTTTAAAAAATCTGGGTCGAGGTACAGATGAAAACAGTCAGAGCATTTTTCACATGTTACAAACTGTTGTTCTGCAGTCATCCAGCTTTTATACAGTGAGAGGTTTGCTTCAGTGTCTGAGTGCAATCAGCTTCACTTTAAGATCTAAGAAATGGTTCAATACAATAAAAGCTTGTTATCATGTACTTGAAGATGCAATGGACTGTTTCTCTCTCACATAGTAAACAGTAGATCACTGCTGTAGATGAGATGGTGAATTTCAAATGCTTGTGTTTGTTTGTAAACACTCTTGGCAAGAATGTAGAATTGTGTCAATATTCTGGGTTATTAGTATCTGTACTCACCATCTAAGGTACAGCACAAGCTGGTATCCAGTCCTCTGCTGCGATGTTAGTTTCCATCCCTGTCCCACATAGAAGAAAGGTCTGGCCTGGATCTGGTGTCAAGCCAGAACTGCTGGCTGCCTTCGGCCATGGTAGGTGGTATGTCATCCAGATATGGGCCAGGCCTGGCGTAGATGGCACTGTTTATGTGATGACATGCCCGATTATGGTTTGGTTTATGTGGCCCAGGCTCATAGACATCCGGCATCAAGCTGCCACTTCTCACTGACTGGTGTCATGGCTGAGTGTGTGCAGGTAATGATGCACTATGTATGTTCCCATTTTCTTATTTTAGTTTGAAGACCTAGATGCAAAGTTGCTATGCTACAGTATAGAGTATGAAGCACAGAGCGCTGCAGAGGAGAGCTTTGACATAGTTATTAATGTCTGCGATATTGTTTGTGTG